AATCAATAAAATATATTAAAAAATAAATAAATAAATAAATAAATAAATAAAAATAAAATAAAAAACTGTTAAGACATAAGTTTGTTTCTGGTTGCCTGCTTCCCTCCATGTATGGTTTTGGGCAGGTCATATCTCTGAGATTTCTTTATGTTAAAGAGGAGAGAGGTGGGGTTCTAGTATTCTTTGAAGTTGAATACTGAGTAAAGATTATGCATGTATAAACAGTGCTACTTTGTTCTCCTCACAGGTCATATCAATAATCTTTATAACACAGTTTTCTGGGCACTCGTACAGCAGTCTGGACTAACACCAGCACAAGCTCAAGGGAGATTACAGGTATAGCGATCTTACTGCATTAATGCCTAATAGGACAGTTTTCTGTAGGCTCTCCCATGATATTTTGCATTCTTCTCCAGCTCTCTACAGCTCTGTTTTAAGAGCATATAAAAATCACGTTTGTAGCAAAACTCTGCTGCTTGCTGGCTGGGTCTGTGACGCTGCTACTTCTCCCCGAGCCTCAGTGTCCTCAACTGGAAAATGCGATCAGTGACATTGGGTCTGCGTTCCCACATGGTAATGCTTGGCTGCAACTGAGTGTTGGCTGCCCTCTCTCGACAGGGCATGTTCTCTTTTTCTGTCAGTCCCATCTGGCCTGTTGCCTCATTGCCATTCCCTGCTGGGCACCTGTAGTTTCTCAGGTAAAGTGTCTAGGCTTCAGGAGTCAAATAATCATACTTAGATCAGTCTTCTGTTTCATTTTATCCTCTCGGCCTAGTTTTTTACAGGTAAAATAGGGAAAGTGATAGTTCCTAGCTCATAGGTTTACGTTGAGAATTAAGTGGCATGACACATGTAAACCAGGATAACACAAAGCACATTGTAAGTACTTAATAAACATTGGCTTTTATTATTAGGTGACCGTGCTACTTGTAGGATGATTAACTCTGAAATGAGATGATGTGTTATAACAACTCAATACAATGCCTAGTACTTTATAATTATTCAGTAAATGCTTGTCATTACTAACGATGAAGATTTATATATATCAGGAATAGGAATAGGTCTCTCTACTTTGGAAGAGCCTACTTTAGGTTTTGGTTCTAGATAGATAAGAGCAAACTATAGTCTTGGGCAATTTATATAAACATTCTAAGCTTCAGAGTTCTCATCTCTAAAATGGAGATGGTTTTCAGGTCAAATAAGAATGTATACATACTAGTAAAGTATCTAGTACAGAAGAGGTGGTCTCACTATTAATTCCTGTCACCCCATCACACTCATGACTTGTGAAGCCGTTGTTTGCTGCAGAAGAGAATTCGTTTTTATATTCAATATTATTTGGTATTAGTTTCAGGGATATAGCATAGTGGTTAGCAGAAGAGAATTTTATGAATTTACACACCTAAAGATTTGAAATTGTGCAATATTTTTAGTATCAAAATATGTTTGCTAAAACACTTCCACTTGATTTGTTTGTGGAAGTTTAGGTAGAGGGTGGACTGGTAAGGTTAGGGGAGAGATAAGACATACAAAGCTTTGTATATCTGTTTTTATTTTCTCAGGGAACTCTTGCAGCAGACAAGAATGAGATTTTGTATTCTGAATTCAACATCAACTACAATAATGAGCCGCTGCTGTATAGGAAAGGGACTGTGTTGATATGGCAAAAGGTAATGCTGTTGTTTCCTAAGGAAAAATGGAGGTCAGGAAAGAAGAGAGTTTGTGCCCATCCCAAGTGTGTCTCGCCTGCTACCAGTATGCTGGTGTGACTGCAGTTGCTAACACAAGTTAGATCCTTTCCAAAACGAGATGCTATAGGTTCCTATTTCGATGCCTTTTTTTTTGGTCAGTCCATGCTCCCTGTATCAGTCTGTCAGTGTTTTTGAATCTCCCCTATGAGTAGAAACACAGAATTTTAGAGATGTTACACTTATTTTTCTGTGTCATAAGCTCTCCTGAAATAAAGTAAAACCCTGTTAAAGGGTGATAGTACAGGTATGAGGATGTTTGCATTCATAGAACATTTAAAAGAGTACGTTCTCCCAAACTGGATAAGACCATTAAATGATCCATCCATCCTGTGACAACTGCAATATGAGGCCCTAAGACAGTGGTTCTCAATCTTCTGGCCCTTTAAATACAGTTCCTCATGTTGTGACCCAACCATAAAATTATTTTCATTGCTACTTCATAACTGTAATGTTGCTACTGTTACGAATCGTAATGTAAATATCTGATATGCAGGATGGTCTTAGGCGACCCCTGTGAAAGGGTCGTTCGACCGCCAAAGGGGTTGCGACCCACAGGTTGAGAACTGCTGCCCTAAGAGATGTTGATATGAGGGTTCTGACACTTGCACAATATTCATGAGATTCCCCAGACATTCATACCCCTTAATATTCTGTAATGAGTGTACACTTATCTAAATCCTTAATTATACCAATATTTTCTCTCTTACCAGCCCCGGGGCATAATGACTTCTCTAAGTTTATTTCCTTCCATCCAAAGTAGTTTTTCTGAAATGTTTGTAAGTATTAAGGGGAACCTTGAGAGCTGGTCATTCCATTAGCAACTTCAGCTCTTTTATTAGTATTTTTAAAGCACATTTAATCTTTGGCACAGACTTGGATATTTCCTAATGCAGATGGGAGAGAAAAAAATACCACTAATTCTATAGTTTTTGCTAACAAGGAACAAGAAATCTCCTTTATTCCTAAGATGTTCTTTTAGAATATAGCAAAATGATTCTTTTTAAAAGTATTTTTAATTGTAAAGAAATTCACGTATGTTGAGATATGTGTGTGTGGTCTGATAAATGTCTTAGTATATAAAGTAAAAAATAAACCTCCCTCACATCTCCCCCTTCTCTCCCAAATCCACTCTCAAGTTAACGATGTCAATATTTTTACTTAACCTGTAGGTGGATGAAGTTACGACAAAAGAAGTTAAACTGCCAGCAGAAATGGAAGGGAAAAAGATGGCAGTGACCCGAACCAGGACAAAGCCAGTGCCCTTGCACTGTGATATCATCGGGGATGCTTTCTGGAAGGAACACTCAGAGATCCTAGATGAAGACAGCTGACCCTTTGCTTTTGTGTCCTGCTGTGCTTAACTATGGAAGGCCCCCAAGTCTTCTGGCCTTAGGTGGCCCAAGCATTCCTACCACCCAGAACAGTGTCCCAGGGGTGACATGACTGGTTGGGAGGGGAACAGGGAAGGAAGGCATGGATGGGTGTGGTATCTTGTTCTGCTTTAAGTGGAACACCTTTTTTGCAATGTTGGAACATGGTTCCTTTTGGTAGAAGTGCATTTAAAAAAAAAATTGTGATACTATTTTTATACAGTGAGAATTATTTTATGCCTTACAGAATGGATCATTTTTAGGTTGTGGCATTAAGTTTTACAAAACCTGCCAAACTCTTTTCATCTAAGATAGAAGATGAGCCCAAAGGTTATTTTTGCGCACCTATTCCTAACTAGAGAATCCAGTGACCTTAAATCTCACCTTTCCCACCCATCTACTTGCATTCATCTTTGGCAGACCTGGAGATAAATATAGCTTGATGCCTGCAGTATGATTCTGAATTGAAGAATTCCAGGGAAAGCTCAGGGCTCTGTGTCAGTCTCCAAGTTGGCAACCTTGTCTGAACAAATGAGTAGATTGGATGTTCTTCTTAAACATTTGTAGATTGATTTTGTAGAGTTAATTAGCATGATCATCATCTTGCCAGGGGCATTATTTGCCAGACCAATGATCTCTTTCTAAGAATCCTATATAATAAAAGCCTGATATGCAAATTGTCCCCTCTACTGGGTGTTCGACCGGAGGTTGGACCACAAGTTCAACCAGGGGGTGGGGCTGGCCAGCCAACCACCTGTGGCCCCTCCCCCTGAGTGGCGGCAGGCAGCCACACGAATTTCATGCACTGGGCCTCTAGTTATGTGTATATTTGAGAGAAAGAAAATGTGTGAGAATGAGTGAACAAAGGAGGAGAAACATTCACTCCATGTTCTTTAGATACTTAAAAGTCGCCTTGTCACCAGTTGGACTATCTGAAAAAGATTCTCAGCCTCTGTATAATCAGAACAATGACATTGGAGTTGGAGAGGAGAGGGGTCAACACTCTGGGGTTCAGGTGGCAGGTGTCAAAGGAGTCCTAATAGCTCCACCTGCTGATGGCCTGTAGAGATGGGTTGGGTGAGGTGCCCAGAGAGCTGCAGCAGTAATTTCATGTTGCCAAGCTCTTGGCCTCTGAAAAGGGGGAGGTAGTGCGGACAGGTGGTAGAAGTCACATTGCCTCTTGTCCTCATTTCATATTTTAGAGGAAAGTCATTTGGCTCTATTAAGAATTAAGAGGCAGCCCATGTCTCAGTGCCTAGTCCCGCATTGCAGAATTTACAGCCAGGAAGAAAATGTATTTTTGAAAGTGACGGCTGGTCTCATCCCTCAGCAATTGATACCCCATCTGTCAACGCCATGTTTTCCCTTCCTGTTCTCCAGAGGAATAGGAGATGTTTAGTAATTGATAAAATCTCATTGAGAAGAAAAATAAAGGTTTCAACTCTTTTGGCCTAAATTTTCATTTATTTTTCTCATACAAATGCAGTGTATGAATCCAAATTTTGTATGTGTTTGTGTATCTACATAAGCCAGAATACACATACCTTTCATCACAGCAGTGGTTTACAAACAATGGATGCAAATATTTACTTGAAATGCTTGTTTAAAATGCCAATTCCATATTCCCTCCTTTCACCTCCCCCCCCCAAATTTGGGGTTCAGTAATCTGCTTTATAATCCCAAAAGCTTGTGGTGTCTGGTCATTGATATGCTGCATTTTGGGCCACAGGTATACTGTGACAGGCCAAATGAGGCAGTAAGATAATGTAGCTCTTAGCTGGGAAATGGAAGTGGTAAATGTATAGCATTTCATATCAAAATAAATATATAGGCATTAAAATACAAGTTTTAAAGACAAAACCATCTGAAGAAATGTGCTATGTAATACTACAAAGTCTATCACTTGATTTTGTTATAAGGTAAAGGAGACAAGCATTTGTTCCTTGAATTGCCAGCAGTTGGCAGATTTGAGATTTATTTTTTGGCACAAGGTTTTGAACAAATGAATATACTAGGTTTAATACTCATGCCCTAACTAAGTCTATATTGCTATTACATAGAAGCGCCATGCTTGATGGGTGTTGTATGCATTCCAATGTACATTGCAGTTTTATATTCGTTTTCATCTTGCTAAGAGAATAGTGTTCTCTTGGGCCTCCTTTCCAAAGCTAAAGAAACTTTAAGATATACACAAAAGCAGCTGGTATAGAGTTAATATTAGTTGATAGTTTCGGGGACTAGTGGCAGATTTTTGTGGCCTGTAGGTGACTGGAATATCTTACCTCTACTGGATGAGGGAATGATTAATACCTGGGCCTTTGGTGCAGACTATCATTTTAATACCAAAAAAAAAATGTTTTGCAGAGCAGGGCTATAAAGTACAACCAAACTTGTAAATCCTCCATCATCCTGGTTTACAAGAGCTGGATCATTTCCTCCAGTTGCTTAGCAATGTTCGGAAAATCAGTGATATAATGAATTTTCTTTAATACTAAGGTTCCTGGTGTTACTGGATGTAGGAAATGGAAGACTGGGATCTACCCACTCTAAATTATTTCACTGTGCACTTAACCAATATTAGCTAACATTCATAGAGCATTTATTATGCACTCCATATGCACTATATCTTCATTCTTAGGACAATTCTAGGACGTAGGTACTATTTCTGTTATGTTTCAGATGAGAATGTAAAGATCCAGAAAAGTTAAGTCATTTGAGTGGTACTCAGCATGAAAGCAAATTGGGACATTCCTTGCCCTCTACCCGCCAGCTCATGAGAGCAGAGAAACGCCTGGGGAGTTTGTTAACACGCTGGCCCGGGGAATCTGGAGTATTAACAAACATCCTAGATCAGTGGTTCTCAGCCTTGGCTGCACATTAGAATCACCTGGGAATCTTTTTAAAATCCTGCTTTCTGGGCCTCATCCTCCGGAAATTCTATTTCTTTGTTACTAATGTTGTGGTCCCACC